TGGGAAACTTGGAAGAGAAATTGGTGAGCTTGGTACTTTTTTCTTTCATTCATTCATTCATTTTTTTTTTCAATCTTGATTTAGGATAATGATTAGGAGTAGAATAATAAACAATTCTGTTTTGTGGGCTTGAAGCGGAAGATCTTCGACGTTGTTTACGTTCCTTTTTAGGGTCATTTTTGTCAAAGCCAGCGAGATAACGCATGTACAAAAATGTTTCAGCTACACCAACGATAACGCTTCCGGTGAGTGCAAGCAATACACGCTACAATTAATTAACAATGTAAGGTTAACAATGTAATGCTTAGCTTAATAATGGTTAATAATTAATAATAATGGTTAATGCCTGGTGATTATCACGGGTTAACCCGTTTTTACCTGAAACAGACCCGTTTATAACAAATATATTATACGCATAGTGCACATTGGAATCATGAACACAAATTATTATAACGGATCCAATTTGGGTAATTCGGGATAACCTGTTCGATGCACCAGAGAAATACCTACCATTCCAGTATCACCGGTGATGGTTTGCGCAACGTGATACACGGCGGCAAATACAGCAACAACAGTAAACGTAATATTAATTATCGCAGTGAGCTGACCACGGATGCTTTGGAACTCTTCAGTATCTAAGAGTTTAAAAGTTTCTACATCATAAGAGGAAGCAACACGTCCAATCATACGAGCATATTCTTTATCAGCTTGTTCGGCAAGAATTTTTTCCAGTCGAGCAAGTAATTCAGGACTCTATAAAATATACGAATACGAGATAGATAGATGAATACGATAGATGATAGATGGATTAATAAGATAGATAGATAAATAGGATAGGATAAATAAATAAATAAATAGATAGATAGATAAAATGATATCCGATATGCATTATTATAATAATTATAATAATTATAATAATTATATATAATTATACATAATAATTTATAAATAAAATTACCTTGGCCTTTTCTTGTCGAGGTTCCATGTAAACACCACTACCAGTGAGCAATTCGTGGAGCCAATAGCTTGAGAAACCTATAAGAAAAAAAAAAATTGTTTCAAAAATAAGGATAAATGGCGTTAAATAATGATGTATGGACAATGGAAATACCCGGTTTTAATACAATCAAATTATACAATCAAAAATTATAAAATCGAAAAGAAATTTTAAGTTAAACTTTGGACAAGTTAAACACCGGGGGGTGGGAAAATAATGTAAATTGAGTAACGATTTGCAAACTTATTGAATTTTAATTTGAATACACAATGGTATGTATGATATGTAAAAATTATGTAAGAATGATGACATACATGTTTGAAACAATGTTTGAAACAGTTGTGGCTTTAAAGACATTCTTTAAGTGGAAAAATAAAAAGTGGAAAAAAAAAGATTGAAAAAAAAAATGAATGAATGAATGAAAGAAAAAAGTACCAAGCTCACCAATTTCTCTTCCAAGTTTCCCA